CTCTTAAAACGTCATTCATAATCGTTCATATCCTAAGTGAATATATACCAAGTGACAAAATCCTCATGACCGGATAAACCTGGTGATGCCTCTTAGAGGTTTATGATAAAGATGAGTGTTTTGCTATAATAAAAGACTTGCTTATTTATCATGAATAAAATGGTTATGTATAAGTTATATAAACATGTAGCAATCTCTGTTTGAAGAATCCCGCACGGAAGCAAATATCCTGCGGCAGGCTGTATTCGTATGCTTAGATTAATTGTTTGCATGTATGCTGGACAAAAACTTCAATAAGTAATGATCAGAGTATGATCCTAAAGTTATTCATCCCTAACATACATAGTTCGTAAAGAATTAACAAAAATAAATTCCTGCCTGGGTAGCCTTCGCATTTGATACGCCGCACATCATCGATGGACAATATACTTTAAACTTTTATCGCATACATTATTAAGGCAGGATATACTATGCACAAAATTTTCTAAGCCATAGTATGTCGTCATATTCACGAACAAGTTACTGAATAAAATTATGCATCAATCATCTGCGCATGACTAGTTCAAAATTTAGAAAATTTTCTAGCTCAGAACAATCCCAATCCATCATTCAAAATATTTGAGAAGTGCTGAAAAATTCAAGGCCCACCTTGTGGGTAATGTGTGCATTTTAATTCGGTCAGTAAACTTTGCTCGCACTGCAAACCGTAGGGGGGAAAGGGGACCTTTGAGGATTTTAGAATTCAGGGTGCTTCGTAGATGGAATTAGCATATACTTAAGCGAGGAAGGCCCCAAAAGTTACTTTCAGACAAAATACGAAAGGGGAGAAAAAGTAAGGGTGGTGCAGAATACTCGACTAACTTGAAACGACAACTTTTGTAAGAATAAACAAGGAAACACGTACGTCCGTTTGCTCTGTGAACTGAATACAGAAAAGCTTAATAAAACCGGTCTCTAGTGAAGATATGAAGGAAGCAGTAAAATAGGTAAATGATTACAGTCCATGAGGAATACGTCTTGCATTGAATGAGAAGTACACCACACGGTTAGACAAATGGTACGGTAAGAGTCATTACAGAAAACAAAGGATCGTCTTTATTTATAATTAACATTTTGAATAAAAAAGCAATTTTTCAGAAGTTATTTAGTGATATGAAAGGAATCCATTCCGTCGCTGAGATATTATTTGACCATAGCTGAGAGAAACTATGCAAGAAATTGGTTTAAATCTTCACTTATTTTCCATGTCTAGAAGAATTTTGATTTAATCCAACTTTATTTTCTTTTGTTACCTCAGAGAAAATTAGAGCTATACAGGTCTATAAAATTAATGCCGAATCTCCGTGTCAGCAGTTTGATAGGTAAGATTTTTTATTCCGATTGAGACCAAAAACGACTTAGATTTCAGTGATTGAGTTTCCTCAATTTATACGTATAGAATAACTCTAGCAAAGGAAACTGGGGTAAATAAGGATAATTAAGCACAGAGATCTAAACCAGTGCATCGTAATGAGGTTCACTACTGTAATAAACATAATTTTCTGCGTTGAAAGCAGTTCTCGTTTTTCCCTGCATCTCCAAACAATTAGCGTTTATTGAAATTTCAGAGAAGGGAAGGTCCTATTTATGGTCCTTTTGCATAGGTCTTCAGTTAAGCCACTCAGGCATGCATCTAATGATGAAGCCTAAAAATAATGAACACTTCACCATATAAGATCTCCCAGAGTAATGAACGGAATTGTTTGTGTTGAAAAAAGACGTGTCTGCGTGAAAAACAGGGTCTTTAAACAGGAGCAGGTCCTTTCAGTTTGAGAAGTAAAACTTAGATGATATTTATTTCAAGAAGCAAAAACGATTAAGGTTATGAGGAGTGTTTTCAAATCTGTATATCAATTATGCATTTGAAATAGTGGAGGACAAAATTATTTCACTTTTGCAGTAACCTCAAGCCAAAAGATCTCTTAATGAAATCTCAAAGAGATTGCGTCCTGTTTAAGATCCGCTTGCATAAGTGTTCAATTGCAGCCACTCAAGCTTGCATGTAATAATGAAATCTCATAATAATGAACGGTAAACTACATAAAACTCACTACAATATAGACCTAATTTGCCTGGATTGAAAGAAGACGAGACCGTGTATGGTAATGTTGCCTTTAAATAGAATAAGTTCCTTTCAAATGAAGAAGTATGCTTCTGATTGGAATCCATTTCAAGAATTAAGAGCGAATGAGATTAAGAAAGGAATTTCCAAATTTTCATCCAAATTCTGCATTTGAAATAATGGGAAGTGAAAAATGTTCTCTTCTCTAGTATCTTAAAGCAAATGAGCTCTAATTGAAATCGCACGGAATGGGCATCCTGTTTAGGGTCCGTTCGCGTTAAATCTTCGATTGCGGTCATTGAAGCATGCATGTGATTACCAAATCTCATAATAATAAATAGTTAATTACATACGGTTTACCATGATAATGAACGAAATTGCTTAATTTCAAAGAAGGCAAGTCCCTGCATATAAAAAGGTCTTTAAATAGAAGCAGGTTTTTCTGAAATAGAGAAGTAAAATTTTGATCAGAACACATTTCATTAAATAAGAGCGACTAAAATTATGGAAGGCATTTTTAAATCTTCATCTAAATTCTTCATTTAAAATGGGGGGGATAAAAAGAGGTTTTTTTTTTTTTTAGTATCTCAAAACATTAGCCATTATTGAACTCACACAGAGGGTGTAGAGTCATTCGGTTATATCGAAGCAGGAGACATGAAAAATTAGCAATGCTCTCGCCAGGACTCGAACCACCGACCTCTCGAATACACGTCGAGCGTGCTGACCACTACACCATGAAGGCATGTTAAGAAGGCAGAAGAAATACCTTATATACTTCCCCTTTTTTTTTAAGGACGACTGGGGATTAGGGGAACCAATCGCCAAATCCTGGTGGTGAAGAATCATTATTCACCACCTTTTGGTTCGGGTGCCACTGTAGAGTCATTATGTTATTTGGAAGTAGGAGACATGAAAAATGAGCAATGCCCTCCCCAGGATTCGAACCTCCGACTTCTCGAATACGCGTCGAGCGTGCTGACCACTATACCACGAGCGCATGCTAAGAAGGCGGGAGAAATACCTTATAAGGGAACATCCTGTAAGGTTTCGTTTTGCGTAAGTTTCGTAAGTCCTCGACGGTTTCTAATCAGAAACCATGGTATGGTTTCTTCTGTTATGATTTTATCTTTCCCATCCTTAATATGTATTTTTTTCCTTCTCCCGTGTCTGCGGTCATTTTAGCCTTTGTTTAAGCGCATATAAGTCTAGAGATAGAGAAGACTTATTTACACTAACGGAGAAGAAGTTGGACGAAAGTAAGCGGGATTCACGTTGAGACTTATTTACACTAACGGAGAAGAAGTTGGACGAAAGATTCCCGTTGGAGAAGAAATAGAAAAGAAAGCAGGATTCCCGTTGGAGAAGAAATAGAAATTATCGATTATGGCATTATGTTAAGTTGATAGATAAGGATGTTTAAAAAAGTACCGTGAAAGTACCATGAATTAGTTTTTTTGTTTACTTGGAAATTGTTGGAAGGAAGAAAGAATTTCGTAACCTGATATTTCTACTCCACTTGGTAACCTCAGAGCTATCCCAGCTCCTTTTCTGATGAATAAATACTTTACTTTATTAATCTCCTGAAATTTATTTTAAAAGATGTGTTACTTGAAATTTTTATATAACATTAGTGCTTTCTCAACTGAAATGTGTTCAGGTGTTTTCTATTTTACAGGCTTTCTTCATGAGAAGGTAGGCTTCTCAGGTTGTCTGCATTAACTAAACGTTCTGCTGTGATGTTATTTCTTTTCCAAGGAATACAAAAATATACCATATTTATTTGCGCATTCTTCCCTTGTTTTCACTAATTTCTTTGTACGAAATTCGAAAAGAGAAAATTACACGAATAATTTAATTTCCTAAGAACGCAGTCACGGTAGACAACATAATAACTGAAAACTATTCCTGGATAGTCTACTGGTAACTATCACAATATTATTTATTTCAAAACTAAACATTATTAATGGGTTAACTATTGTTAACTATCACAATATTATTTATTTAAATGTAACCCTATATATTACAATGAAAATACATATTAACCTTAACACAATGTCTAAAAAATATCTTTATTTCTACTTTCTGCGTCTTCTCACTCTTGTTATTGTCGACGGCTACTTCTTAGGCCTCAAATCATTTAATGCTGTTGGAATTGCTCTCTGTGCAATTTGCCTACAGTTCATCACCTACATTACCGTTCAATATGTTTTCTGGCGAGCAATGAGCTCCAAAAAAATCCCCGTTTTCTTGAAGTTCTTTGTTATCAATGTTTTATCAGTTAGAGCCCATGCAGTCAAAATCCACAAGTAAGTCAATTAGATAGACGAAAACAATAACTGCTTAGACGAATCCAATTTAAAATTTAGGAAAGCTCACTTTGTGAATGCCTTGAAGAAGGCGGAAATTACCTGAATACTTAAACAAATTTGCAGAACCTTGTGCTAAAAGGTTAAGGGAGATAATGCGTGAGGGTAAAAAATTCAAAAATAAATACCGTATTTCTTAAAAAATCTATTTACGGCCCAGTATAATTATTCTGTAGTTACTAAACTAATATTCAAAGCTAACGAATACTTGTGTCTCAAATCAATGAAAATTCAAAAGATATCCTTCTCATTTTCTTAGCTTTTCAATATCCACATGTAACTCAGTAAATTCAGGCACATAGCCTGAATTTACTGAGTTACTTTTATAACCATTGTAGCCTGAGTTACTTTTATAACAAGAAATATCCTTAAAGTATTTTGAGGACACGATGCTTCCTTTCGTTTCAAAATAACATCTGTTTTCATAAGTGTTTAAATATTTGTCTTTTAGTTTATGAAATTAATGTAAATTTTTATTTTTTTTAATTTTATTTTTATTATTAATGTAAACTCCTGATTCTTTCTTGTAGGAGCTGGCGAATCTGGAAAAAGCACTGTCGTAAAGCAAATGAGGTAAGTGTTATTACATTTTATTATGTGTCATAAATATCTAACTTATTATTTTTATATGTATACTATGAGAAATTATTTCTGTTCATTTGCATGTTCCAAAAAATATTAGTTTCCATATTAATCGTAACACATTAGTTAGTTTTTGTTACAGAGAAAAAACGGAATTTTTAATACTTGGGATATAATGAATGCTTGCATTTTGCATGTTTTATAAATTCAGAATTGATTTAAGAAAATTTTAAGTTTTATTTTAAATTATTTTAAGCTGTTTGTTTCTTCTTCTCATTTTACTTCGCAATAATTAAAAAAACCTTAGCATTAATATTTGCACGATGTTTGAAAGCTTACATGAAAGATGTGCTTTTACCTTTGAAAGTGCTTTTTCATTTTCCTAACAGATAATAAAGGAGTAAGTTCAGGTAAGGTCACTTAATGAAATAGTGATGCAGATTAAAGGTTTGTTTACTATTTTAATTACCTATTTTACACAACTAGAAAAATCATTTTAGATCGTTTCACATGTCATGATTTTGAATTACAGTTGCAATTAAGAAGTCAGCTCAGCGAAATTTTTTTGTGTCTTACTTATTAAAATTTAGGTTTCTCTTTACATCGTTTATGTTTAAATATCATTTGCTACCAGTTTATTCAGAATATATAAAGTTTAAATAATTCAATTGGATTATCTTAGTCCGTATCATCCTATATCAATAAGGTTAGAATAAGTAAATTTTATTCTAGCTTCAATAGCTATGAACGTTTAACATCATAAATTTATCTGTCAGTATTGTTTTTGCAGTATTCAATAGTACAGCTTTTTGTTTTACATTATATAAATCCTTAACATTACGACTACAGCATGAGTATTATTCTCTATCTATTATTTCTAATCTAAGCTCTATCTCTAATCAGTCTACTTCTTAACACGAGGAATTATTCTCTGCGGACTAATAGCCTGCAAAAATTTATTTTTATAACTGTTTACTCGCTTTATTTAATAAACTGTTGCTTAGTGAATACATAATATAATTAATAACTGTTAAAAAAACGAGATTTCACATGGTTTATTATTAAATCCTTTTTAGAATTCATTTGAAATTTCAATTAGAAAAGAAATTATACTCCTTTCTTTAGCTTTGGCTTCTTTAGAAAGTTTATTATTATACTTTTCATTTCAAAACTCCTCCGCAAAAGTGATCGAGGGGTTAAGACCACTGAGTACTGGGAATTCGGCCATGGTTCGAGATTAGGTAAAAGGGCTGGCTGCATTGTTGGATAGTGTGGTTTTCCTAATGTGCATTTACAATGCCATCCAGCTTTCCTTAGAAATTCCTTAAGAACGCTATCTCTCTCCTTAAGCAGATAGTTCTCGTATGCTTTTCCATATTCAAATAACCTAACATATTATGATATATAACATATTATATATATATTATATATTATATATAACATATTCTGAATGATGGCACAATTTCGATTACTTTCTACCATTTTTTTACCATCTACTTAAAATGTGCGATTATAAAAAATAAAACAAACTGAACGAAGCTATTTAAAAGACAAACGGAACTGCTATCTAAAGAGGACTCTGTTAAATTACAAAACAGTTCTTATGTAGCAAATTGAAAAGGACATTTTTAAAATCATTGTTCCACATTTACATTAATGGCAGTTTGATTTACATTAATTTTTCTGTTCCCTACTTGACTCGCTTACTTTATCTTTCTTTACAGCAACTCATTTCGCTCCTCCTCAAATAGTAAGTTCAGTCTTTTTTTAATTTTTGAAACAGTTGGAAATTTTCTAAGTTGTTCTGGGTTAACACGCAGAGTGCCACATGAAAATGAAACTTCCTACTCCACTGGTACTGAAAATTCATTCCTGGCAAATGAGCTGGTTAGATAGGGTTTTCATGGTTTTTTCTCTATGTAACTTTAATTCGAGCCTGTTTTCTTGGCAAATCCACTTCGAAGATAACTCTACTAAGGAAGACTTAACCTTCCGTGCTTTTGGAAATATTTGTTGACATGGAAGTCGCTTTTGCAATAAGAGCCTGCCAGTGAATTACCAAAAACATCCACATGAGTTTAGGCACCCAACAAAACAAAATATCAAATCCTCTGAACTTCAATAACTGTCAAATCCTGAAAACATCCACAGATTATAGGTCACAGATTGTAACTGTAAAATACCGAAAATGTTACAGATTATCCATTAAACCTTTCCGTTGCTTCATTGCAAGTTTAGTCTCTAGAAATATAAGACTGTAGGTGTTACAGACAGCATCTGATCAACCTTTAAGTTGACTTTTAAGATTATTCAGCTTTTTACTAAGCTTCTTAATTTTTTCCCAACCTGTACTGAGATTGCTTTTGCAAGCTGATTTTGGGTTAGTTTAGCTGCAGAAGTGGTTGCAAATAAATGTGCTGAAGGGCATTTTGATTGCTTTTCTGTAACACAAATATAATAATCATTATAATTTGATTTGTAGTTTTTAGTTGAAGACAGCTCTGTCTGAGTTGATACCGATGAAGTTGTTGTTGCCGTGTCTATATTACATGGAACAATGACTGCCGGAGCCTAATCTGAAGAGAGGTTGGACTTCTATTTTCCACCCCCAATTTTGAGGAAGAGCGCTCGGATGGGAGATCCAGGGGTCTCCCACACCTCTCACCTTCCACCAATCCACACGAGAAGACTTTCGGCTCGCTGCATATTTAGAGTGTCACCATGCCGCACCGACACTATACATTTACAAACATCTATGTCTTCTTCTGGATTCGAACCCGGACCGTTGGGTACCGTAGTAGGCACCCCTAACCACTATACCGTCTGGGCGACTACCGATGAAGTAGAACTAGATATTGTTTAAGACTATGATGCATTAGATTGTAGAGTTCGTATTTGGGTTTATAAGCTTCAGCGTATAAGATATTTTTGAGTGTCTTCAGATTTGGTATCTCCTTCTCAGAGACCCACTGAGGGCATGTTTTTGAAAATGATTCCTCATTCTCTTTTACAGTTAAAATCTAATGCAGGTGAGTCTCATATATCACTGTCATTGTACAAAGCATTGGAACTGGAAGTATTTCAGCAGATTAAGAATATATGGTCATCATGAGCAAAGAAATAACCAGCGTTGATATATTCAGAGAGTTCCGAGTGAACCAAATGCCAAGATCAAGTAATTAGTGCAGAGAGTGTTGCCATTACGATGGATAGTAATACGTCATACATTGTAGATTTGCTGTCACTTAAGGGTTTCACGCATTTTATCAGCTCTTGTGTCGATATCTACCTCAAATGTAACTCTACATAAAAAATTCGAGGAAGTAAAGTGCGCTGCAGAAATATTATATGTACATAAAATCGGCAGTGACTGAAGTCACTCTTTTTTTTCTCTCAAGAGTAGATAAAATTTATTAAACAAAAGCTAAAATTCTAAGCTTGGCGAAACATTACAGAATATCAGAATTACATGCTTATACATTGCATATTTATACATAATAATATATTTAATCTGACACATGTGTTTACACTTGCATGCTTGTTGTTTCGTTTTCCCATCTTTGCTTTTTGTACCACCTGTTAGTCTTTCGTGCATTTTTCACGTGATTTTAAGTTTTCCTTTTTTATGACTTAATTTACATAATTATTCTTTTCCCCACGATTAAAAGAATTATTTTGTAACTTAAATGTTTTTATTTTTGGGCTAAGAAATTCAAAAAATTAATAGTTGATAGTAGCAAACAGTTATAAAACTCATCACTGTTCCTACTGATGCTGTATTACCCATTCAGGGTTGCAATTAATGTTGAGGGTCAAAAGTTATGTGTACCTTCCTTCGTCTTTTGTAGAGTATTTTTTGTGACGTCTTTAAAAAGAATTATATGAATAACTTGACATATGTCCACGAAATTAAGAGGAAAAGTGCGTAATTTTAGGCATAAAGTACCAGGGGCATTTTGGCATTAAAATCAAGAAAATACCTCTTTCTCATGGCAGTTTGGAGAAATTCGGTATTTCTTAGCGAAACTCAGTGCCGGTCAGGTGCTTAATGTGCACTTATGATGTAAAGATTTAATGATTTAATTTCTGACTACTTTTACTTAATCTGTCTAGTCATTCTTTCTGCTTCAAATCAATTCCTGCATGAAATTCGAGTTTCAGAGTTAGGTATTTTAACTTTCGCAGTTAGGGAAAAGAGAGGGTCTATTCCTAATTACTGTTACATTACATCTTCGACCAAACAGTTTGTTTAATCTATATTTAAAATCTCCTCTCTCCATCTAGTGGTAAATTGATAGTCGCAGCTTGCTGGCTTTTAGTTTTAGATTTTAGTGAGCGGGCTGTTTGGACTTTTGACCATCTATAGAAGCTTCGCGTGGTAGTAATTTAGTTTCAATTTCATTTTAATCTTATTTCCCGCAAGTAGCGGTTTATAAGTTAATGTAATTTATAGTTTTTCTAGTCTACACGATAAAACTTATGAGGTATTATTCCCCACCTTTCCGCATGCTTTTGTGGTGTAATTGGAAGCATACTCGACACGTATTCGACAGGTCCTGGGTTCGAGTCCCAGAGAAGGCGCTGCTCATTTTTCATGTGTCCTGATTCAATAAAACCTAATGACACTATAAATGGCGCCCGAAAAAAAAGGTGGAGTCCTCTAATCTCCAGTCGTCCTTTAAAAGGTGGTGTATATAACGTATTTTCTATTTACTTTCAACTTGCCTTCGTGGTGTAAATGGAAGCATACTCGACGCCAATTCAAGATGTTCAGGGTACGAGTCCTAGCGAGGGCACTGCACATATTTCACGTGTCCTGTTCAAACGAAAAAACCTTAATGACTCTACAAACAGTTTGATAAATATTTAAATTTTATTTTGTAGCTTGATTGCTAATTGGTTTGTTTACCATTAGCATGTGATAAACCATTGTTTCAAGTAGTATTTCTTCAAGTCGAAGATATAAAAATAATTATTAAAATCCTTAATAT